ACGATTGTGACTTCGGGCTGTGGGGCTTTACTGAATCAAGCATGGATGCACTCATAACGCAGTGTGCACATTTCTCTGCTGTGCTGGTGTGCTTGATAGTCGCCGTTGTTGGGCATTTCCATCGCTTTGAATGGCCTAGATGTGTTAGAGGCAATGCCTTCTGTACAATGTGGGGTCACTTTCCAGGATCCTCTTCCCAGAATTTGATTTGAGTAGCGGTTGATCATGCTCTCATGACCCTCACGAATCACCTCTGGAGAATGAGGCGGAAGTTCGAAGGATTTAATTTATCCGTCAGCTGTTAACCCAGCTAACTACATCTTTGTGCTCTTGTCGTTGGGTTTTGTTTTTAAGCTTTTTGGTTTTCACATTGGGAATTTTGAGAGCCAAATGAGAACGATGTGCCTTCATTAACTCTACTTAGAACTGCTGCTTTGAAACCGCCTCTGCCTGGTGAAGAAGAAGGCGAAGCTGTTGAATGTGAAACGCCCAACGAGACACCTCATCCTCAAGTGAGGCGGCCGCGACGCAGTAAGAGTCTCCAACAAGTGCTGAATGTCAACAAAAACTCAAAGTCTCCTGGTTAGCATGAGTAGTTTCGCTTGTTATGTCTGTCAATTGTTTGTCTGCTGAGAATGGTGATGGTATCGGGATCTGTGCTGCATTTATTCCACGGCATTACTGCCTAAACCTTCAGAAAGCATACCTTTTAGTGTCACAATGTGCCCCTTAGCGTTTTCGATGGGTCTCTCTGATGCCAAGGTGCAGTAGTTCTGCGAAATTCGCTCTCCTTCTGTTGAGTGGACCCTCGACTAGCGGTGAAAAGCTCATTTCAATACCAAACAGTCTTCCCCATTTTTCTCTTCTTTTTCAAAGTACCAGGATAAATTGTAAATTTTGGTAGGCCTTTCGACGTCTAGATTGGTGTCGGTAACTTCTAGCTAAATCACCAACTAGATGCAGTATCTCTTGGCGTTCACACTTGTAAATTAAAAGTCTTTTAAGTTTATTGGCGATTATTCGTGTCTTTTTGGTAGATTGTATTTTCGATTCCTCCTTCTCTAACAGGCTCAAATTGCGTTCCACTGGAAACTGGTAAAGCCGGCCTTAAATGCTCCTCCAAAGTTGGTCTTTGCTCAGGTAAAAATAAAAGACGCCACAAGACACCGCGTCAAGATTCTGCCGTCCGTAAATCCGCTGCCAACACAGCTGCTGACCCTCCGCTAGAAGGCAACTTACTTCCAGGCGTTTCGTGTTCTTCCACTGGTATAGTCGCCGCTGTAAGTTGTGCATTTTCTCTCTCATCATTCTTCTCCCCTCCTTTCTCATTCTCTCTGTTGCACACTACAAGACACAATGAATTTTTTTAGCAGCCTCACGGACAATCGCCGGCTCCTAAAGCGTCGGTGGAGTCCAGTCTTGCCGCGCTGCGTTTGGAGGGTTTAATGGATGTGCTAGAAATTCAACACTCTCCTTCGGCTGGTGATTTGCTTTCTTGGGACACCAATGTTTCTGGCAATCCTGGAGGTCAACCCAAGAAAGCAGCAAAGGTGATTGAATTTTAAATAAGTAGCACGTTCCTGTTTCTTGATTTAATGCAACTTTTTTAATTGGATGCGCTTATGGTTTAAAAAAGATGCATTTTATTGAAAGCACTTTCCCTTCGAACTTCATACTTTTAGTTAATTTGCTTCTCTTCCATAATTTGTAAACTCGAGTGAGATACTCG